AATTAAACCAACATTCAGAACCCAGGTGGGCAAAAATTAGTACACCCTATAATTCTGTATCATGTAGAACCATCTTTCACAATAATACCTTGAAGTAAATGTTTTCTGTAGGAGTTTATCAGTCTCTCACATCGTTTTGTATAAATTTTGGCCCACTCTTCTTTACAACATTGCTTCAGTTCATTGATGTTTGAGGGAATTCATTTATGCACAGCTCGTTTATGATCCCACCACGGCATCTCAATGGGGTTGAGGTCTGTACTTTGACTTTGCCATTCTAACACCTTGATTTTTTTTCTTCTTTAGCCATTCAGATGTTGATTTCCTGGTGCGATTGGGATTATTGTCCTGTTGCACGACCGAATTTCAGGCCAGCTTAAGCTGCTGGAAAGATGACCTCACATTTGTCTCAAGAATATTCTAGAATATGAGTCTTGAGTCTCAAGAATATCGTTGTCTCAATAACTGCAAGTTTCCCAGGTCACATGGCTGCAAAACAAGCCCAAATCAGCCCTCCGCCACTTTGCTTCATAGCTGGTATGAAGTGTTTGTGGTGATAGGCTGTGTTTGGTTCTCCCCAAACATAGTGCTCTGCATGATGATCATCTTGGTCTCATCAGTCCAAAGCATATTGGATAAACTTTTGTGGTTTGTTCAGATGCAATTTTGCAAACCTATGTCGTGCTACATATTCTATTTGGAGAGAAGGTGCTGAGTTTACATAGTTATCCTTCCATGAAAGCCATACTTATTTGGTCTTTATCTGATTGTGCTGTCATGAACATAAACGTTTAATGTGCCTACAGAGGCCTGTAGGTCTCATGATGTAGCTCTTGGGGTTTTCTTTATATCTCTGAGCATTAAATGGACTGGAAACTCTCTTGAAGGCTCGCCATTTGTGAACAATCCTTCTCACTGTAGCTTGGTGAATTTCAAATTGTTTGGAGATGGACTTATAACCCTTCCCAGATTGACGACCAGCAACAATTGCTTCTCTGAGGTCATGTCCTTTCTTCTTGGCATGATGCAGACTCACACCTGAGTGCCCCAGAACACCAAATGTAAAAACTTCTACTTTTATAAAGGTAGTCACACTTCTTGATGATTAACTTATCTTGGGCATTTCATTAGTAACACATAGCTGTTGCTAATGACTACAAAAAATGACTAAATATTGAAATCAGTTGTGTTTTTTTTTATTGTCACCTGAGCTTGTCTGTTTGTTCATAGAAGTTGGTGAGCATCACAATTGTTATTGGGTGGTGTTATAGTGTGTACTTTCTTTTTCCCATGACTGTACATGGACCAGAATTTGAGTAAAACAGAGGCATGTATCAGTTACACACAATTCTGACCTTGGGGAGCTCAGGGTCTCAAGAGTGGCACAAGAGAAAAGAGTTTGGTCCTGATGATGCTACAGCCATGAGTGAGTCCAACAGATTATGAATTGGTCATGTTCTCTGGGTGGGTGAGTGTTACTCAGACAGTGACAGTGTTACTCTCTCACAGGTTAATCACAGTGTCACTAACCAATCACGTGCGTCTGTGTGTGCATCTATGTATGTGGAAGCATCTCTTATCCTTCACACTCCCTCAAACAAAAAAACCAAAAACAAAACTTAAACAGCTGCATAACCTGACCTGAAGACGAGTACCTTTGGACTTAAGACTCTGATTCTGAATACAGCCCTGGGTGCACATGTTTAAAATGGAATAAAATACAAAATCACAAAAGCCGTGTGTAATATGACAAAGTTACACAAACACAAAATGTTTTTTGGTCAGTTAGACCATTAGTGCATGAATAAAACATAAAACATAATCTTAAAGGCTGCGTTTGATGCAAGTCAGACCCGCAGCTAAAAACCATTCGCAAAAGCCTCAGTGTTGGTCTTTAGTATGTTTTTATGAGTTTGTTTTCTGGATTAGCAAAATGCTTACCAGTGTTACTGTATAGCTTTATTCTTTTCTGTTGTTTAGTGTTTTTTTTTCACTTTTTAGGCAGCAGTCTAACTTCATACTGGATTGACAGTTTATTAGGCATAAGATTAATAACAATTATCATATAATTAATGCATTACCTGGTAACATAGCTCATGTAAATAATGTAATACATAGTGATGGACTGTGGAAATTTGGAGTCATAGTTTCTCTTTCTCTCTGTATATTAAACATCATTTTCACAATGTTGCTGCTTTTTGAGGAACTAAAAGTTATGCAGTGAGAAAGAGAAAGCTGCAGAATATGACCTGCTTTGGGTCATAACAAATTAAAGTGTTCCTGGAACTATGACACAGGGACTAAAATTCCATTGGGGAGAGGAAATGCCTTCTGTCTATTTGTGTGTAACTGGAACATCTATCTATCATGTCTATCAGTAATTACATTCTACTGTAAATACAGACTAATGTTGACTCTGAGTCAGCAGTTTGTTAACTTCCTGTTCAGTATGTTAAAGCACACAGACTTTTGGTACTTTTTGTGAAATGTATTTTGAGGTGAATGAAGCGTTTTCATGCTGTACATCTGTATAAATACTAGTGCTGTAGTAAAAACTAGTGGATTATTAAGTGAACTGAATACCTTAAACCACAAAAAAGCAGAAAAATAATTATTTACTTCTTATTTAATGTTGGAATAGGATCTTCTGAACGATTGCAGGATAAAAAGAAGCCACAACTCCAGTTTCTTTTAGTGCAATAGTTTGTTACATTTAAACCATTACTACACTTACTATAGGCTGTCAGTCAGTCTGTGTGTTACCATGGCAACACGCAATGTCCTGTCCAGCTGTGGCTTCTTTGGGAACTATTTTCATTGACGGAGTAAAAATAAACAAAATGTTTGGCCATATTGTGTCTGAAATGTCAGTTACTCCATATTATATTTTGTTCATAGAACTGTTGTATAAAAGCAATATCACACTCAAACTACAATCATGCTGTGATCACCTGTCATTACCTGTAGTCTCGTGCCTACAGCCGAATCACAGCTGTGCTGATATAAATGCTTTATAAACAGTTTTAGGGGCCTAATTTTTTTTTTTTTCCAAAATTTTATCCCAACACCACCAAAGGTGTAAGTCTGACTCATACACAGCACAAGGACTAACACTGCAACTAGCAACACCCTAGCAACCCCATGCAATACCATAGCAACCACACAGCAATCACCTAGTACCCAACTGGGATATCATTGCAATGAACTAGCAAACACCTGGCATATCATAGCACTGACCTAGCAACCACCTAGCAACACCTTAAAAACCACATGTAGTATGTTATCAACCACCGAGGAACTCCCTCGCAACCACTTTGTATTCTATAGCAACTGCCTAGTAAAACCCTAGCAACCACCTGTGATACTATAGCAACAATCTTGCAACCACCTTGTAACACCCTAGCAACCACCAGCAATGCCCTAACAACCACCATAGATACGGTAACAAACTAGCAAACACTTGTAATACCACAGAAATGACCTAGCAACCACCTGCAATATTATAACATGACCTAGCAACCACCTAGCAACCATCTGGAATGCCAAAGAAATAACTCCGCAACCACTTAGCAACACCCTGGCAAACACCTGCTATTCCATAACATCAACCTATAAACCACCTAGCAACATCCTATTCATTTTTTGTGATGGTTGGCCAGTGGTAGGCCTGTTAAGACAATGAGTGAAGGGGAGTTTAATGAAGATCTGATGGCTCATCTGATGTTTTAAGATGTGTAGCAGCAGCAACCTTCGCCTTCGATCAGTCTCAGCACACTTCATGAAATTTAAACAGATCATCATTAGTGTTGGAGATGCACTCTTCACTATAACACACACATTACTGTGGGTAATTTTGTAATCAAAATAAAATAAATCATACAGTAAATAACTTCTTATTATTATGTGACAGATGACTCTTTTTGTGGAAACTGAATCGTACTGAAGAGTGACGCATGATACTGAAAGTGATTAAGAAAGTAAAAGAGTCAAATAAGCTTGAGTTTGAAAATAAATCTTCCCGGGGGATTGGTGGGGGGGGGATATAGATTATATCATTGTCATCACATTTATTACTGTGTTTCCAGGTATGTCAAAATCAAAACCTGCTGATAGCTTGGGAGATGAAGCGAAAGTGGATTGTTTGCTGGGTATAAAACTCCTGACGCACCTTTTCAGGACTCTCACTCAACCTAACGCTGAGCTGAAGCCATCACAGGAGAGAAAACAGGTAAGAATTAACACATTTCTAATTTTTTTATTCAGCACCAATAATCCAATTCAAAGGAAATTAAAGAATTTTCAGCTTTACAATTTATTGGAAAAATGCTCTAATTAAATGAAACATAACCATTTAAGTTTAAGATGAATGGTCACTTGTCCCAAGAACTCATTTACAGTGTATTATGTAAGTAATAAACACTGTGTGTGTTGGAGTTACAGTAAAATACTGAGGGATGGGGTGGTGTGATTTATTTTCCAATAACAACACATCCCTAAGTGGTTTATTCTTCTTATCCCACTGCAATTTATCAGTGATTACATTTTTTATCTATCAAAGAACAACACACCATACTTTTTTAAAGTTCCATTTAATGTTGTGGAATGTCCATGAAACAGGTTAGTTCCTGTTCTCACTTACATTATAGCAGCTATAAACAGTCCTTCCCTCACCAGCCTCTCTTTTTTCTCTCTTGAATTTAATAATATCACAAAAAAACACAGCTTGTTATGTTACCAAGCAACTGCAAAGAAGCGTAAACTCCTCTGTCCTGAAGATGTTGTAAAACGTAAAGTTTTCACCAGTTCGAATTCACCAGTTGTTGCTGTTGTTCTTCAGCTGCTCCCATTAGGGGTCGCCACAGAGGATCATTGGTCCGCATATTTGATTTGGCAGTTTTTACTCCGGTTGCCATTACTGATGCAACCCTCCCCATTTTATCCGGGCTTGGGAGCGGCACTGGGAGTGCACTGTCTTGTTCAACCCCAGTGGCTGGGGCTGGTTCCCTGGCTGGGAATCAAACCCGAGCCACGGTGGTGAGAGCGCCGAGGCCTAACCATTATTCCTCCAGGGACCACTACAGAATTCATCAGTAATGTAGTATAATAAAAATTATTTTCACTCACTCACTTTCAGTAAGCGCTTTATCCTGGTCAGGGCCACGGTGTATCCAGAGTCTATCCTGGGAACTCTGGGAGTGTGGTGTGAGATCACCCGGGATGGGACGCCAGTCCATTACAGAGAACCATGCACACTCATTCACACACACACACTTTCACACACTCATTCATACCAAGGGGCAACTTATCTAAACCAGTCCAACTACTGGCATGTTTTTCGGACGTAGGAGGAATCCGGAGAAAAACCCAGACAGATATGAGAAAAACATGCACAGAATCTCTGCTATGATTCTTTGTTATTAAATTTTATTTATAATTTTTAGATTTGTGAATACACTTGCTGGCGCAATGACACCTGATTTTCAGTCTTCTGCTTTGTAGGAACATCGACATGGCCAGCAAGGGCAAACAGTGGGTTCTCCTGGCAGCAGGTTCTAAAGGTTGGGAAGACTATGATGTCCAGGTGTGAATACTAAATGCAGTGGCTTAAATTTAGTGTTAGATGTTGTACACAAGTAATGCCAATATGTTATATGATACTTTTGAATTGTCTTTATGTTTAAGATCAGTAAAATAATTTCATTTAAATGATGATTTCTGTTACAGGCCAACGTGTGCCACGCTTACCAGGTTGCACACCAGAATGGCGTTCCAGATGAGCAGATTGTGGTGATGATGTATGATGATATAGCTTATAATGAACAGTGAGTATAGAGCTCTGCAGTAGAAGTGGGCCTTGCCAAACAGTGAGAAAAAAAAAAAAGATTAGACTACAAGAATATGTAAAAATTATTTCACTGTGATGAAAAATACATTTATTTATAGCGTGGCCTACAAACATGGCCACCAAAGACTACAACTCACATCCATCACAGACAATCTCACATACACATTCACCCGACTACTGTTTGCACTCACCTGGACTCAATCACACACACAGTATATAGGCACCCTCACTGCACATTCACAACTGCTATTCTGGTTCTTGATCCTGTTCTTGGTTTTCTCAACTTGCTCTTGCCTGACCTAGTTCATGTTGTTTGTTGATCGCCTGATTGTTGATCACTGCCTGCACCTTGAATCTGTTCCTGAATTACAGACCAGGACAAAGACTCAGCAGTCACTCAGTGGCCAGTCCCCACCACAGTGAAGGAGCTGCAACACTTTCTCGGCTTTGCCAATTTTTATCGACGCTTCATCAGAGGATTTAGCATTATAGCATTGCCGTTAACTGTCTTCCTGAAGAAGAGAAACAAACAATTGCAGTGGATCCCAGCCGGTAGCCTTCACCAAGCTCAAGGAAGCATTCATGTAAGCTCCCATCATAAAGTACCTTGATCCATCAAAGCCATTCATTGTGGAGGTACATGCCTCAGAATCAGGTGTTGGAGCCATGCTGTCACAGCGATTTGGAGACAAACACAAACTCTATCCAGTGGCGTTCTTCACAAGGAAGCTGACCCCCGCCGAGCGTAATTACGACATTGGTAACCGAGAGCTCCTCGCTGTCAAGCTGGCCCTAGAGGAATGGTGACACTGGTTGAAGGGGGCCCCGACAACTTTTCACCATCTATACTGATCACAAAAACCTTGAATACATCAAAACTGCCAAGAGGTTGAACTCGTGTCAAGCATGCTGTGCACTATTCTTCACGCGCTTCGACTTCACCCTGTCCTAATGCTCCGGCTCCAAAAACAACGAAGCCAATTCCCTGTCAGAGTTTACCCAGCTCCCCCTTGTGAAGTCTCCTAGGAGTGTATCCTGGCCGAGTCCCACTTTGTGGTGGCCTTGACCTGGGACCCAGACAGAGAGATTGACAATGCCCCAGAGGTGAAAACCCCCAGACAGTGCCCAGTGGGGGAAAAGTTTGTGCCCCCCAACTTCTGAGACAAATTGGTCACGTGGGCGCATACCTCTCCCACCATGGGCCAAGGCAACTGGTGGTACAAGGTACTGGTGGCCTAACATGTTACAGGACATCTACAATTTTGTGTCATCCTGCTCAGTATGCACCCAGGCCAAGGTACACCTCAGTTACTTTGGAATTTCAGAGTATATCATGAGAGACTGGGGGATTCAGTTTACATCAGGTGTCTGGTGTGGCTTCATGGAGAAACTGGGGGTCTCACAGCCAACGGCCAAGAAGAGAGGGAGATTCAGGAGATCAGGAGCTTCCTGCACACTTTCTGCTCCAACAGCCAGGAATTCCTCCCATGGGTGGAATATGCCCAGAACTCTCTCCAACACTCTGCCACCATGCTTACCCCATTTTAATGAAGTGAAGTGAAGTGAAGTGATGTGTGGCCAAGTATGGTGACCCATACTTGGAATTTGTGCTCTGCATTTAACCCATCCAAGTGCACACACACAGTAGTGAACACACACACACACACACACACACACACACACACACACACACACACACCCGGAGCAGTGGGCAGCCTTTTTTTTTTGCTGCGGCGCCCGGGGAGCAGTTGGGGGTTCAGTGCCTTGCTCAAGGGTCTCACCTCAGTCGTGGTATTGAGGGTGGGAGAGAGCGCTGGTCATTCACTCCCCCCACCTACAATCCCTGCCGGACCTGAGACTCGAACCCACGACCTTCAGGTTCACCTTCGGGTTACAAGTCCAACTCACTAACCATTAGGCTCTCTAACCCCACCTACTCACCCGCAGTGGATAGCTGGTTCTTGAGAAGTGAACAGGTGTAGAAACAGGCCCATCAACACCTAGACCAAGTGGCCTAGCTCACCAAAACGTTCGCAGACACACATTGTGAAGAGACACCCGTTTATGAACCTGGCGATTGGGTGTGGCTCTCCATCAAAGATCTCTGCATCATGGAAGGCTGCAGAAAGCTGGCACACAGATACACTGGTCCCTTCAGAATCAAAGTTACATACAAACTTGAACTACCACAGCCATATTTCTCCAGTGTTCCACATTTCATGCCTCAAGCCAGTCAAGCCAGGTCCCCTCACAGAGGGAGTTCCCCTCCCCCAGCCCCCCGACACCTCGGGCATTGAAGGTGAACTTGCATACATCAGAGAGATACTGGACTCACAAAGCAGAGAAGGTAAACTGCAGTATCTGATCGACTGGGAGGGCTACAGCCCCAAGGAAAGATGCTGGGTCCCAGACCGTGACGTGCTTGACCTGCTTCTGTGCCAAGAATTCCATGCACCCCACCACAACTGCCCAGGTCCACATCCTAGGAGGAGGTCTAGGAGGAATCCCACTCCCGGTGGTAGCGGTTCGGGAAGAGGGGGTTTCTCTCATGTCAGTGCCAGAATTGGCATTGAACTCTAACTCCCAGAGTACAGCATGGCAAACAAACATGGCTGCCAAGGACTACAACTCACAGCCATGGCGGACACTCTCATGTTTACATTCACCTGACTACTGACAGAATGATGATAATGCTAGATAAAATAATCTCCTCTTTTTTTTGGCACTAGTAGCAGCAGGCAAAGACTTGAGCAAGATGTGTGTTAATGCAGTTCCTACGAGCTAAGCTTTCCATGATTATTTTAGTCTGTTAGGCAACAGTACTGTGGTTTAGTCTGTTTTTTTATTATTCATCCTGTAATTTATTTTCTGAGTGACATCACATAAAATCCCATTATGCAACACATATTACAGTATTGTACTGTACAATAATGTTACAGTATTTTATTGGATCTGACACTTGTAACTCATTTATCCTCAATTCTTTATATTCATAAATACTGTATCTGATGTATAATATAATTATATGATGAATAAGTATTAAATAAAGATAATTATATTACTTGTCTATTTCATATTTTTGCGCAGAAATCCCATTCCTGGAAACATAATCAATGTACCAAATGGCCCAAATGTTTACCCTGGGGTTCTAAAGGACTACACTGGAGAGGTAATGTGTTCTGTAACATTTAATAAATAAATACTCTGATTAGGTTATTTTTGTTAAGTGGAATTAATCTTTTTTAAATTGTCCATTATCAGGAGGTATCAGCTGAAAACTTTCTGGCTGTACTGCGTGGAGATTCAGCTGCTGTCAAGAAAACAGGACCAAAAAAAGTAATACAAAGGTAGAAACCGTCTCTATTACCTTTATTCACCAATTCCACATCTAATTCAGGTTTAGTCCGTATTTTAAATACACTTTTACATCACAGCACTACTGAATTCTGGATTCTGGTCAGAAGATGTTGATTAATTTTCTATAACAGCAGCTCAAACAGTAGTGAAGCTGCAAATTACAGGTTTATATTAATGCACTCATTATACTCAAACCAGCCCTCCTGGCACTAACAACCATGTCACAGTCAAAGTCACTGAAATCACATTTTTTCACCATTCTGAAGTTTGATGTTCATGAAGACTTCATTTCTATTACCATTTGAGTAACCAATTTAAAAATAGTTGCTATTTGACAAATATAATCTGACGTCGCATTTGCTCACCTTTTTGGTGTTGTACAATCGTCTACTGCCCCACTTAGCTTGATAGAGTTATTATTGCACCTCACCTAGTGGTCATGAATGGGAACTGCAACACGCACTAATAGAGACCCACTGAGGCAGGAATCACACTGCCACATGGTCGTAGGAGAAGCAGCAGATAAGAGAGTTATTAACAGATTAGACTGGGTAGGCTAGTTCAAAATCATTCCATTGCTGCAAAAATATTGTTTTAATTATGATTATTTGTTATAAATGTAATAAAGTGCATCTAGAACCCTGGTGTGTGAGGGTATGGAGGAAGACTCAGGAAGCAGGCGTAGTTTTAGCTGAGCTCCGGGCTCGCACTTATTCAGCTTATTAACTGGTTAATATCCATACATCAAAAATGTGTGTTTCTACCATGGTGATCGCTTCCCAACACAAAGACTGTGAAATAAAAAAAAAAAAAAAGTGTCTCGTTTTTCTAATGCCCAAAGTTCTGGGCTAGTTTCACAAGCTCTGACTG